TATTTCAACTTGATGACATATTGAGTCAAAGACTTGTCTTACATAATTATGGTCAAGCATACAGTTTTACGAAAGCCCTTTAACATTTTGATCAAAATAGGGATAACAGATTTTAAATGCAATTATTATGTATCATTTTTTTAGAAAGAAATGTACTGTTATTTTATGAGATATATGACAAAGTGACACACAGTGAATAAAGGGCCACACAGTTCTGTATTACAGTGGGGTAAAGGACTCGGTTTCTACAATATCTTACATTTTATATGTAAGTACCTTACTGTAAGTTACCACTTGGAATGGTGAAATGTTGCATTACTGAAATTGTAAGTCTTGTGCTCTACTGTGAACAGGGTAATGGCCACATATTTATCTATAATACTACATCTGCTGGCAATATATTCTAAATAGGAAATTGTAGACCCTTGTCAGTGTACATGTCTCAGTGCAGGTCATGACAGTATTTTTCAGGGTGCCCTGGGCACAAATGCAGGTGACTAGTCAGGTGTGTTATTTTCAAGATAGATTTATCATATTGCATGTTGGGCTTCTTTGGAGATTTTTTGGTATTAAATAGTTCCATAATAATATCTATTATTGTAACATATGTATACATACATGTACGTTCCATGATTCTAATATTGGAACATTAATGCTCAGTAGTAAATTTATAAATGAACAGTGAACAGTGTATATTGCCTTTAGATAATAGTCAATGCATTAATTTATGTTCTTGATTTCAGATAAATATTTTGAGACATTTTACTGAAGATTCAATATGGCTACTGTACAACCAAAATATAGTAAGTTTTAATCATAAATGACATGCATAACACCTCAAATCTATTTTGCAAGTAAGCTCCATATGTACTAGATATTGAATATTTATTTTGACCTTCTTTTATCAAAATTATTGGCACAATGAGAAATCGTTTTTGAAATAAAAGATTGGTTGCTTGGAGTTTTTCTTCCTTGCAACACATGATGTCATCTGAAAATGGGAGATAAACAGGGTTATGAAAATATCCAAATTAAGATACAGAGAAATGATCTAGGCTTCTTATTGATTTTGTTAAGTTTACCTGTATTACAAACTGTTGTAAGGTAAAAAAATACTGGTCATTGTTATAAGTGATACGTATATGCATTTTTAAAACTTGTGTTGAAACATACAAAACTTGGTTTGCAGATTTTGGGCTTCTGCAGACTCCAATGTCAAATATCTCTGGATATGAATCAGAAACAAGCACTGATGTTTTTCAAAGGATTCCAAGACAGAATGTTGATCATCTGCTCAAGGGTGCAGGGCATGCATCAAGTAAATTCCCTGCAGCTTCTGGCTTGACTTCAAATACATCAAGGTATCTAGATGTACATGTATAATGTCATTTGCTTACTCAGTGGTGAAAACAGGGAAATTAATTGTTTTCAAATTTATCTTATCCAGACAAGATGAATTGTTTTTCAAGTTTTTTCTGATTAATGAAACCAGCTTTATTACATATTACATAGAAGTACACTCCCTCAAATTTATTGAAAATGTCATAGTATGTATAGCATTTGATTAAATAATTGGAAAACTCATCTAATTCTTTCCAATTATGTTCAGGGCATATGTTTTTGATAATTTGATAATTTTGACAACAGTAATATGTACACAGGTAAAATTTCTTGATGTCAATTTTCCAGGTCAAATTCAGGTAATTTGTTGACCTGAAATAGACTGTTGTTGCTCTTTTCATACATTTACCTGGTACATATTCCTTTCTGCCTTCAAGTTACTGATTTTAATTGATATGGTTAATTAAGTTCAGTGCTGCTGGACTGAGTCGGTAATACATTAGTGACCATGCAGATAACCTAAATGATGGAGCTCTTAGTGTTCCGATTTGGAATCAAAGTTTGACCAGACGCAGATTATTTTTTATTTTATTTTTTTTACTTCAAATATCAAGATAAAGCATTGGGCACAAGATATATATAAACTTTTACAAGGTTTCGCCTCACCAATTATATTGGTAATAAAGTTATTTTGGGCAAAATAAGCTGCAAGAAATCAGCACCTGCTTATAGTTAAAGGATAAGAACTTTATGTTTGTACTATATAATATTCCACATTTATACTAGTACAAGTGTTGCTGGTGTGAGGAAGAGAGGAAAAGGTTTAGGGTATACCACTCCAGGCTCTACCAGTGCTCTGAGAACTCCAGCTTCCCGTCGGACACCAGGCAGCCTCAGCTACAGTACAACTACTCCCAGGGATTCCACAACTGCAGTGATTGTTGGTAAATGAATCTTGAACTCAAAAGTGTGTCTTTAACTGGAGGTAGATTCATATCAAAAATTTCATTGTCGTAGAACCTAATATTAAAGTTGTTGGGACCTGATGGTGAATGAAGGAGATAAATTAAGAGCTTAAGCTGAGAGGATATGTAAACTATACTTTTAATAGGAGTCCATGTTACTTGCATAAAAGCTGTCAACAAAGTTAGACTGTATAGCGGAACTGGACTGGGTCAATCACAGGCGACCAGGTAGCTCAATTGGTTAGAGTGTTCGTCTAGAGTTTGAAGTGTCCTGGGTTTGAACCCTGGTCTGGCCGTACATTTTTTCCGCTCCTGTTACAGACTGCAAAAAATATTTGGTCAAGCAATTTAATATCAGTGGTGCTACTATACTGGTGAACCTGGAATGTCAGTCACAGTGAGAGTTATCGCCCTTTGTACACACATTATTAACGACTTGTGCAACCTTAATATTTACTGCCTAGGATTGTGACTAGGAAATCAAACTATGTATATGAGTTATTAACCAATGGATTTCTTAGTTTTTCCTTCACTGAAGTTTATTTGGAGTGATTACAATTATCAGAGCTAGATGATATATAATAATGGAATTTAGTTGTATCAGTAACCTGACACAATATGTATCCCTTTCACTGTAATAACTATATTCTTAAGTAGAAGGAAATGGTGGAAGTAGTTCAAGAGGAGGAGGAAATATGAAAGATTTCAAAATTGAATTACGATATTTTACCATGATTGAGTTATTATTGGATGATCATATCTTGTGCTAGCAGTGGTGTAAAATTTCATATTGAGTACAGTAGCCTCCCAGAATAATTAAAAATAACTAGTCTGACAAAAAATCTACATTAAAGCCCTTAATTTCATACCCCTGTGCTACTGCTATCGACTGTGCTTCAAAATATGTGGTGATGTTACATTCGGTTTATTTATAGCTATTGTGGAAGGCCGTGGATTAGCCAAGGGAGAGATAGGACTGGCCAGTCTGGATCTCAAGTGCCCACACCTTACACTGTCTCAGTTCTCAGACACTCAGACTTATGTTAAAACTATCACTAAGCTTCAAATCCTACAACCAATAGAGGTAAATAAAACATTGAAAAAAATATATAAAATATATAAAAGTATATGCATTAACTTTACAGTATGTACATGTAGTACCATAAATGTAGCTAGTTGTTTCTTAGCTCACATTGCTTACAGTGCTGGTGTAGTATGGTAATATGAAGGCCATGGTGAAATGAACCGCCCCATGGTTAAATGAAGGGTTCCAACAATTTCTAATCTGACAACTTTTTTCCATTCATTTTCTTTAAGTTTACTTCAATTTGATGTATT